ACCTGCAATTCTCGCAGCGTAAAAGCGTCGCGCTGCGAGTAGCGAAAAAGTCGTATTCCATCCTAGGAACCACTCCTGCCAACATTCTTAATGTGATGGACCAGATCTGACAATGCCAACGAACAGTTAGCGAATCAGCAAAGACTGTACATTGTTTGGCTGCTGCGTTCTCACTACTCAACCGTTCTTAGCTAGTTCTAGCTAAGAACAGTTGAATAGTGAGAACGCTAGCTAGCTTCTAGATTACTATACTTCCATAGGTCTATGGGTTACCGCAATGGAAAACCAATTAGCAAAAAAAAGTAAAGTAGCATTTAGCACGAACAAGTCTGCTATGGTGGGTCCAAGTGTCCTGTGTTTACGGTGCCTTACTAAAGCCATTGGGTCTATGGGACTGTTCTTGAAGTTTGAAATGGTGTTTGGAGGATGAATCGCACTTATCTTTGACTTTCCAGGCTCTGACGAAGGCGACAAGGCCGAAACGTAAGCCGAATAAAGCTTACTCCTATCCTGGTTGCGGTTAATTTCGCAGTTACCACCAAGAGACCCTCCCTAATGCTTTCTTTATCAAATAAGTGGGAGAATATTAGATGAGTATTGTCTATCCTGCAGATGCAATTGTAGTTTTGGTCAATGGAAATTATGATTTATTAGCACTTGTTGCAAAAGATATTTCTTCGAAATAACAACCCTCATCACTTTGAAGTGATAAAAACATGAGCAGTAAAACCGATGCCCTTCTCATTCTAGAATTCTTTGAACAGTATTATAAATGCAAAGTGCTATCGTGGTGCGGGGCGGAAGTGGTGCAGTGACAAGTGGCGCGCTCACCACGCGAGCGGTCCGGGATCAAATCCTGGGTCGTGAGTCGCCCGGGCCAACCAAGCCTTCCATCCCTCCGGGGTCGGTTAATTGGTACCAGACTTGTCTGGGAGGATAAAAACACTGACTTGAACATCGGCTGGCCCCCGCAAGTCATTGTATAGGCCACATCGCATTCAAACGCCACTGCGAATGTACAAATGGAAGTAGAATGCGTGCCGCATCCCAAAAAGGGATTGATCAACGGCAAATGCTTTATCCTTTATCCTTTATCGTGGTTCTGATCGTATCATTTCATCGCCGCTTTCGTCTCCGCTATTCATCACGTTAAGCTCTTGTTCCTCCTCTACGGTCTCCTGAAAGTTTTCTATTTGAAGCGATTTCGCAAGAAGTGTATTGAGTGGGTTAAGAGTAAAAGTTGTGAAATGTTTAATAATTACTCCGATAAAGTCATCATCTTCTTCTCGCCAAGCAGTTGAACTCGTTCTCCATCCGGATCGATTTCCTCGTACCTGAAGAATGATGTATAATTGACCCACTGACTCGCCCCAACACCACAGTCCTCCCAAAGTATTATAGTTTAAAGATACATAGCTCAAACGGATTAACAATTAGGAAAGATCTTCACGTTTTAATTCAGTGAGCTTCAACAACGTTCGCACCAAAGATGAATTTCCTTATCTTCTTCTTCAGAGTCGACCTCAGGTTACACTTATGAAGTTGGTCTACAATCCCTGAAGCACCCACAGGAGCAAGTTCCAACTTCTCTCTTTGTAGAACCTCGCCATCATTGTTATTATGATGTTACTGTTATCATGAGGTTGTTAGGTGGCCTGACGTTTCGACGAGATCGTCTTCCTCAAAGGCCCAGTCCACCACCGCAAGAGCAGAACAGCGCCACTCCAGGTCAGTTATGGTTAGTAACGCCACTAATAAAAAGTCGTCACCTAACAACCTCATTGGCAGACGAGTAACATCATAATAACAACTCACATGAGCTGTTTTTCTATCTAATTTTCGCTGTTTCTCTAACTTGCTTGTTCGAAGTCATATAAAACAGGGCAATTTGCCCATGGCGCACATCAAAACTTAAACTTTCCGTGGCATAGGATGCCGCTATTGATGGAAGTTTGTAGCAGGATAATCCCTTAGTCTCACTATAGCAAAATCAGGCCCTTCCTTCACTGCCCTCACCGTCTTCAGAATATGACGTCATCTGTCACCACCGTCGAGCTCAAGGAGGCCTACCGTAATCGCTCCAGCCTGAAGCTGCTACATAATTTCTTCAATCGATTAACTGGTGGATAGCTTCCTAGAGACAGTAGCTCTGGCTAAGAAAGATTCCTTCCGATCGCCATAATGGTCCACAATTCGCCGATGTTGTAGGCTTACGAATTCTTACGTGTGGTCTACCGTAGTCCATTACAGACCACCCCTTGAGCGCCTATTTCTAGGATTTGTTCTGATGTTACCACAGTTTGACCAGGATATTTCACTAGGAAAACTACTGTATAATTCTGGAAAACTTTTCCCTTCGACTCCACCTCAGTCGAGGACCTCGATGGGCAATTTTCAGTTGAGTTCATTCAGTTTGGATTTAGCAGGGTGTGATTAATTCTGTTCTGAATGTGGAGGAGAGTGCCTTTTCCTATTAGTCCCCCCATACCTCTGTAGTGTAGCCCACCTTTATCTACAATATATTGCCTACGTGAGCGAAAGAAATATACCGCTCCTGTAGGGTTACATTGCTTTCGATCGCAGGAGACTGGACGCGAATCTTAAGATCATGTTGACTAGCATAAGACTCATCCCGAGGAAGCAGACTTGAGAGCCGAGCATGTGGTCTTCGGCTGGCACGAGGTCAGGGCTATGGGATGGAACTGGAAGAACTGTCTAACAGTCTACGAATTTCCATGAGCTTCCTTAGCAACGTGGGTCAAGCGGTCTTGATTGAGATGAAGTCGGAATTTGGCGATTGAATTTTCCGAACCGTTAGATCGTCTACTTCCACTTTTAGTATTGGCTGGTACACAATACCCACTTCACACAACCAGTAACCATGCTGGATAATCAATCGGAGGAGCGTTGGAAAACTAAAAGAACCATTTTATGTCAGATGGGGTTTGGAGCTTGTCAGGTTCAGAGCATCCAAATCCAAACTCCATAATTCCACATCATTCCTATACATATAAGGATCTCTCTTGTCTCTTATATTGTCGCATAAAAGGCTCCCTGCCAAACAAATGCTGCTTTGTCCAGATACCCTTTCTAAAGCGTCGCGTATAGCATCGATAATGGAAGCACTTGGGCACCAATACGTAGATCATTTCAATGGAAAAAAGCCTCCTCAAAAGAGCTGACTTGAATAGACTGCACCAGCGACATGCAGTGACCGAGTAAGCGTGCCCTCCTTCACCTTCTGGTAGATCTATTGCGCATTGCGGTCTTCGAAATGCAATGGTCGCTGCTCATTAAATGAAGCTTTGAAGGAAGTGGTAAAATTGGAATATGGAGCATGGAAAGCAAAAAGACCTGAGCTAGCTAATAGCTTTTCACATTGAATAACGTGGATGTGAGGTTGACTGTTTGAGATTTTCTTAATTATTCATGCAATTGAGTGTAAAAGCGCTTAGAGATCCGTCGACCATACTAAAAAAACCCGCTGACGGACCAACCGTTCTCACCTCTGTGCGCGTCGAATAAAATTGAAGGACTTTATATTTTCCTGTCGAACTATGCAAAACAACAAGCGGTTAATTAATACTCACGTATCGAAGAAAAAAAACCTCACCTTGCTATTGGTAGCCGAACTGAATTGAACTGTGCTTGCAAAACTTTTTCCTGCATCCGCTGAAGCCGAAGCTGTCGCATCAACAGCTAAATTACATATCACAGAAAAAAACAGAGCTTATAAGCTATGACTCCAAAATGGTACATTACACTACATACCTCTTTCTGCATATGTATGACTTCAGGATCAACTGATGGCATCAGCATAATTGGAGGTAACACCGACATCTCAGGTCGCGATTGGATCGTTTCATAAGATGATAAAAGGAATTCAGTGTTGTCACATGGATCTAAATGCTAGCAATTTTATCGGTCAATTTGCCTGGCAGCATAGGTATACACAATCAAAGTCAAAGTTCGGACGGCGGCTATGCTCTACGAACAGCCCGGCCGCTCCTCGAAGTCAGCTTTCGGGTAGAGGAATCGGGAATAGCAAAGAAACGGCAAAATAATCCCTACTGTAGCATACTATAAATCTGCCTTTAGCTAGCCCTCTTATGAATGAGCAGCTGACAGCCAGCTCTTCTTTTGAAACACACAGAAAAGGCCGGAGACATTCAAGCGAACCATCTGAACCGTGTAAATCGCAGATGCCGCGCCGCAATACAAGCAACAATATTAAAAATGGCGTAGCCCCAAGAAAACGGGGCGGACGTTGCATGTTCGTGGTGGCCTGTGTTTTGCTAAAATTGCACCAACAGTGCGAAGGTCCCAAAGTCTAGTACCTGCTTGTCCACAAGGTAACTACTGCCTGCAGCATAAAGCGACCTTCACTCAAATCCATCGAAATTGAGCTACCAAATTTACATTCCCTCCAGGTGAATCTGCCGCAAAGCCCACTTGCCAGCCGTGGAGATCGTGTGCTTGGATGCGGGTCTTGCACGATTGCGTGTAACTACACCGCGTTTCGAAATTAATGCTGCCTCTTTTTGGTTGGTTTAACTTGCTCAACTCATTTGATTATCGCATTTCTTTTTTTTTGTACTGATGCATATGTCTCTGTTGTATTAAAGCAAATGCGATTGCAGCCGCATTTCTTGCTGGCACGAGCCAGCAATAAATGCCGGCGGAGCAAGCTAGTTCGGACAGCTCGTCCGACACGCCCCTTCCTTCATTTCGGAGGGGAAA